CATCCTACCCTCTTACCCTGCCTCAACTGGAGCTATTCCCTGTCCCTGATAGCTGATCAAATCAGAAAGATCCTACTCTCAGGGTAGTGACCACTCTCCAGGCATAAAAAATCCTGGTAACTTGTCCTCCCTCCCCACCAACACTCCCACCCCCCGACAACCTTAATTCACTTTTGAATATAGGAGTTGGGACTTCATGTTAAGTTTGAACAGGATTTTGGTGAGGCCTCTTCCAGAGTACTGTGTCCAGTTCTGGTCACAATGTTATAGGAAGGATATTATTAAGCTCAAGAGGGTTCAGAAAAAATTTACCAGGAGGTTGCCGAGAATGGAGGGTTTGAGTCATAAACAGAGTTATGGGCTGGGACGTTTTTCCACTGGAGTTTAGGAGGCTGAGGGGTGACTTTATAGATAAGCGATGAGGTGAATGACAAGGGTCTTTTCTCTAGGATGGGGGATTTCAAGACTAGGGGAGATATTTTTCAGGTGAGAGAAGAAAGATTTAAAAAAAAGACATGAGAGGCAATTTTTTTTACACAGTGGCTCGTGTTGGAATGAACTTCCAGAAGAAGTGGTAGATGCGGCTATAGTTACAACGTTTAAAAAACATTTAGATAAGTAAATGAATAGGAAATCTTTGGGGGGATATGGGCCAAGTGCAGGCAGGTGGGACTAGTTTAGTTTGGAACTATGGTCGGCATGGACTGGTTGGACCGAAGGGTGCGTTTGTGTGCTGTATGATTCTATTACTCAATGACCATGTACTATTTTGAAAGTTCGGAATAGATGTTGTCCACTCACCAGATACTCACCAAACAACTAATCCCGTCCCCTGTAATAGAATAAGAGCCAGTTCCAAGGCGAAAAAAGTTGGATAAATTGACGAAGCACCTGCTCCACCTCTTCATTTAATTCCCTTACTCACCCAACTCCCAGCACTCTGTTCAAGGTCACACTCAGTTCAAAGCCTGTGCTTAAATGTTTTGAGTTAGCTTAGCCGCAGGTACAAAAATAAACAATTTAAGATAGTTTCTGTAATGAGTTAACTTCAGCTGCACTCCATGGCAGCACCTATCTCTGTTCAACTCTGCATGAAGCTCAGAATTTAAATATTAAATTGTGGTTATATTTTATACATGAAAGACAAACAAAATTATATTTATGGAAAGTAATTAAGATTCCCATGATTCGCCCAAATCCCAGTACTCTGCTCAAAGTTGCACTTCACTAAATTAAAAAAAACTAACTGCATTTACCCCTGTAACAACTGCAATTATCTTCCATTTGTGTCCTTTGGTAACTGACTCTCCTGCTGATTGAAAGAGTCTCTCCTCACTTGCTGTGTCAAAACTCTGATAATGGTGAACACATTCATTAAAATGCCTCTTACCTTCCTGGGTTTCAAAGGCAACAAGTTCAGATTTCTCTTACCCCCACCACCAAGTTAATCCATGACAAAATGCAACTTCAGAAAACAAGAACTTAGCCTCTCAGCACTGGAGACCTGCGTTCAATTCCAGCCTCGGGCAACTGTGTGGAGTTTGCACTGTGTCTGCGTGGTCTTCCTTTGGGTGCTCTGGTTTCCATCCTCAGTCCAAAGATGTGCAGGCTAGGTGGATTGGCCATGGGAAATGCAGGGTTACAGGGGTGGGGGGGGGGGTCTGGGTGGGGAGCTCTTCAGCGGGTCAGTGTCGATTTGATGGGCCAAATGGCCTGCTCCCACACTGTAGAGATTCTGTGATGAACTGATACTATTAAGGTGTGACTTGTAGTTAGAATGTGATATTCACAAACAGCATGAACAGATTTAATTTTGTACTAGAAACGACAGTGAGGATTTCAGGCCTCACCAATATTAAGTGACAAAGCTGACAGAAATCTCTGGGGACTATCTGTATACATTTGAATGGGGTTACTGGCTCTGCTTCTCCAAAGGTTTCACTGGAATCAAAAGCTAGAGTCACCTTAATCCTATCGGACTATTGGGTTGCTCTCTCATTAAGAGAGACAGAGAGATGACTGGTGGTGGTTTAACCTAAGGGTCAGAAAGGGTGACCACTCCTCAGGTTGAGAAGACAGGACCTTCATGGTAACCTCAGCTGGTGACAGAACTGAACCCACACTCTTCGTATCACTGCATTAACCAAACCAGCCTGCCAGCCAACTGAGCTAGCCAACCCACACCCACCTACATAGGAGACACACACAGAAACAGGTCTTTCAACCCTGAGGATCAACATGCCTCAGGTGAGGACAGAGGTTGTGACAGACAAACCTTTATGGTAACCTCAGCCAGAGCGGCATTTCTCTGCTTCACAAACCAGCTGTCCAGCCAACCGAGCTAACCAATCTCCGTGCACCGGAATGATAGCTTGCTGAGACTCTTGCACTCAAGTACATGACCAGAGTGTACTTAAACCTCTGGGAAAATATTAAGACTTGCCCATTCCAGGGTAGTTGAATGTTTAACAATGGGGTAAATCTTACTACTAATATGAGGAAGAATTTCTTCAATCTGAAAAGATAACCTCTCAGTCTTCTGCAATTTATTACAAAAGTGAAGTTGATTTAAGATGACTCACTCTGGCTGGGGGAAGTGATAGCCTCGTGGCATTATCGCTAGACTGTTAATCCAGAGACCTAGGTAATGTTCTGGCAACCGGGGTCCCGATCTAGCTCTGAATTTAATAAAGAAATCATTTGGGGTTAAGGGTCTAATGATGACCTTCTAAATGTTGTCGACTGTCGGAAAAACCCATCTGGTTCACTAATGTCTTTTAGGGAAGGAAATCTGCTGTCCCTACCTGGTCTGGCCGATATGTAACTCCAGACCCACAGTAATGTGCTTGATTCTTAACTGCCCTCTGGGTAATTAGGGATGGACAATAAATGCTGGCCTAGACAGCAACTCCCATATCCATTGAAAGAACTAAACAAAAGCATTTTGAAACCAAAAGTTGACTTTGGCAAGCATGGAATCTCATTCCTTCAGTATTGAATCATGGTTGGAGTTTTTTTTATTCAAATCATACATTGTTAACCTTTTCTTAGTTTCTGTTATCTCCCCACCCTGATAACATCTTTCTGTCTGGTTATTTCATTTTGGCAAACGTTTGACACAATATTAAATACAATAACAGAAACTTCCTGATTCATACTGTCTTTGGGGCAGGGCAGGGGGTGGTGTACGAAGAAGGGGGAGAGGATGGGGGAGGCAGAAGAAACTGGGAGTGCAGAATTCCATTAACATGGTGTATTTAAAGAATGCTGCCTAACCGAGGAGCTAAGGACTCAAGGTGTTACCTGTGCCAGGGGAAATCACATTTTTGCAACAATTGGTCAGGGAGAGACTTACTTGCTCACCCTGTTCATATCGGTCTTAGTTCCCCTGTACAGGGCTGCAGTGAAGTGAGTTTCTCATCATTGCTGCCTCCAGTACAGCAGCTCAATGAAAGGTATGGGAAAATCTGAGGCACTTTCTACTCAACGTAAATTTCATCAGTTCAGAAATTGTTCTGCTTCTGTTGAAGTTTCCTGCCAGAAACTGAAACTGAGGCTGATTTGGTCAGGGCCGGGAATGTCCAGCAGAGACTTGCTCAAGATGTCTTTGACAGAGTAAATAAGGAGAAACTGATTCCCATCATGGAAGGATCTATCTAAGGAAACATTTACTGGCATTGGAGGCAGTCCAGAGAAGGTTCACTATCCCAATACCCGGCATGGAGGGGCTGTCTTATGAGGAGCGGTTGAGAAGGTTGGGCCTGCACTCATTGGAGTTTCGAAGCATATGAGGTGACCTCATTGAAACATACAAGATTCTTAGAGGGTTTGACAAGGGAGATGGGGAAAGGTGGGTTCCCCTTGTGGGACAGTCTAGGGCCAAAGGACATCACCTCAGAATAAGGGGTTGCATATTTCAGGCAGCAATGAGGAAGAATTTCTTCTCTCAGAAGGTGGTGAATTTGTGGAATTCTTTACACAGGGGACTGTCAAGACTGGGTCATTAAAGGTATTCAAGCCTGAGACAGACAGATTTTTTAATAAGGAAGGGAATCCAGGCTTATGGGGAAAAAGGCAGGAAAATGGAGTTGAGGATTATGAGATCAGCCATGATCTCCCATTGAATGGCAGAGCAGACTCAGTGGGCTGTATGGGTTGCTTCTGTTTCTGCATTTCACGGTCTAATAACTGCAAGTTACAGATTTCAGACAATTGGTAAATCGACTAGGGGCAACAGAGAGGAAATTTTTGTCTCCGTGGCGAATGGTCGCGTTCACAAAATGCTGCCTACAAGGATCCACGGAGACAGATTTAATGATGACTTACAAAAGGGATTCAAAACTCCCTGAATGGAAACATGACGTGAGTTAGCAGGGAAAGAACACGTGAGTGGGTCTAATTGAAAGATTCATTCTTTCAAACAGTGAGCACTCTAACAATAGGCTGAATGGCCTCATTCTGGGCTGTATGATTCTATAGTCAATAATAGGCAATACTGATACAAAGGATTGCTCCAGACAAAAAAACTAAGAAACACTGAGGATCATATGGGATTCTTGCCTGAAGTAACATGTTAAACTTGACCAAACACCAAATGCAGAAGGAAGCACGATGACTTAAAACCATAAGAAGATATTGGGGCAGAAATGTGATTTCCACAAAACTCCAGTAAGTTTACCTTTGTCTTGTTGGTTTCCACCTCACTAACTCTCAGCTGCAGTGCTGAATGCTACAAATTTTGTAAAAAATGTAGCTAAAGGAAAGGACGACTGGATCTCAGTGCAACTAACTTAAGACCATGAGAAAAATATTTTTTCCTTTGGGAAGGTGCATTTTCAGTTGGATAAATAAAACTTCACCAGGTTAACTCTCAAATTAAAAAATACAGGTGAAAACAATTTTCAAAAAACTATATTCTAGAACCTCTACTGCCCTCTTTCATAGCAGATGTCACAGTAACAAGCGCTATGAAATGTTGCAAACTAAAACGAGAAGAAGAATAAATCTGATCAAAATTTTAATTAGAAATTAACAGAGGGAACACCACTAAACAGGTCATTGTTAGTGAAGTTCATGTACACGATATTTAACATAATACTTTAACATGATGTTCTGAAGCACATCGTATGTCCTTCATTACAGTGACCAGACCAAGTGTCCCCTACAGGTGAGAGTGTTTGCCACAAGTGCCTTCTCACCGTGAGGGCACAGTAAGACACACAAAAGCCTTTCTAGCCGTGGCAGGCTGTGGGCTGGAAGCAGGAATTAGATCAGGAAGCCTAGTGCTGGGGAAAAACCAGAAGCGGAGAGATTTGAAGAAGAAGGTCCTTTGAGGACCAAACAAATCAAAGCAAATGCGGGGCTCAAGGGAACAGCCGCTCTCTGCCTGCCGCTGCTCCTGAAAGATGTCTCTCTCCTCTGGCCGCAGGCCCAGGACTTTATTCCGGCACCACGTCGCTCAGCCACTTCATGTACGGTGGGTTTCCCTGGTCGATCGGCACACTGATTACCTCTGCCACTTCATAAGGGTGAACCGACCTGAGAGGAGATGGAGTGGAGAAACATCACTTGACGCGTCACCAGTAGACAACTCTAAGGCTCCGGAAAGGATCCGAGTCATGGGAACAGGAGGAGACCGCTCAACCTGTTGAACCTACTTTACCGTTCAACCAGATCAAGGCTGACCTGAACTTCAACTTCATTTACCTATGTGGTTCTGTAACCTGGAAGTCTCGAACCCAATGAAAATCCATCAGTCTGGGTTTTGAACATTCCAACTGCACAACTACACACCCTCACCACCAGCCTCACCAGCATTTTGAGGCAGAGGTCCAAATTTCTACTGTCTTTTGGCCTTTATAGCAAGGGCGGAATCATAGAATCCCCACAAGGTGGCAGCAAGCAATTCGGCCCATTGAGTCTACACTGACCCTCTGAACAGCATCCCACCCAGTCTCATTCCCTACCCTATCCCTGTAACCATGGATTTCCAATGGCTAATCCACCTAGTCTGCATATCCCTGGGCACTATGGGCAATTTAGCATGGCCAGTCCACCTAACCCGCCTACTAGGATGAAGCTCACGCAGACAAGGGGAGAATTTGCAAAATCCACACAGATAGTCGCCTGAGGCTGGAATCGAACCTGGGTCCCTGGCGCCATGATGCAGCAGTGCTAACCACCGAGCCAGCATGCAGGGTGGAGGGTGGGGGGGCGGAGTGTAAAAGTGGCATTGGTGAGCCCACAACTGGAATACCATGTGCAGTTTGGTCTCTTGACTTCAAGAGGGGTATGTTTTCATTGGAATTAGTTCTGAGAAGGCTCAGGCAGCTGACACCTGGGATGAAGGGGTCTGCCTCCCATGAGGAAGGGGTGACCAGGTTGGACCTATATTTATTGGAGAAAATCTGAACCAAGGAGTAGGAGAAGGCCATTCGACTCATCAAACCCACGCTGCCATTCAATAAAATCAGAGATGATCTAATTGCAACCTCAAATCCACATTCCCACTGGCCACTAATAACCTTTACATTTCTTGGTTACCAAGAATCTACCTCCCTCGACTCTAAAGCTAGTTAAGGGTTCCACCTCTGCCATTTCACTGAGTAGAGAGTTCCAAAGACTCAGGACCCTCTGTTTTAAAATGGTGGCCTCTAGTTCTCCTACAAGAGTGGACATCCAACCTGCCAAGACCCCTAGGATCTTATAAGTTTCCATCAACCTTCAATTCACGTTCTAGTCTTCCAAACTCCATGGATTGAGACGAGACTGTCTAAGATAATCCTCCAATTCCAGGTATTAATCTAGTAAACCAGTTACATCCTCCCTGTCACAAAGTGGGCGATATTGCACACAGTATTACAGATGTTCATAGCTCCTTGAAAGAGGAGTTGCAGGTAGAGAAGGTGGTGAAGCAGGTGTTTGATACACTTGCCTTTATTGGTCAGCGCATTGAGTATAGGAGTTGGAATGTCATGTTGTGGCTGTATAGGACATTGCTTAGGCCACTGCTGGAATACGGCATTCAGTTTTGGTCTCTCTACCATAGGAAGGACATTGTTAAACTTGAAAGGGTGTAGAAAAGCTTTTCGCAGATGTTGCTAGGGTTGGAGGGTTTGAGCTATAGGGAGAGACTGAATAGACTGAGGCGATTTTCCCTGGAATGTCAGAGGCTAAGGGGTGATCTTACTGAAGTTTATAAAATCATGAGAGGCATGGACAGGGTGAAAAGCCAAGGTCTTTTTTTCCCAGGATAGAGGAGTCTAAAACTAGAGGGCATAGATTTAAGGTGAGAGGGGAAATATATAAAGGTGACCTAAGGGGCAATTTTTTCATGCAGAGGGTGGTGCATGTATGGAATGAGCTGTCGGAGGAAGTGGTGCAGGCTGGTACAATTACAATATTTAAAAGGCATCTGGATAGGTATATGAATAGGAAGGGTTCAGAGGGATATGGACCGAATGCTGGCATAGAAGACCAGGTGAATTTAGGATGTCTGGTCAGCATGGATGGGTTGGACTGAAAGGTCAGTTTCCATGCTGTACAACTCTATGACTCACTCCTTAATCTTCTGTATGAAAGGGATTACAATACAAGCCTGTGCAACCTGCCCTTGGCTTGAATCACCTGGGGTTAACCTGAACTGTGTCACACTACCATTGTGGATACGGCACTCAGATTGCCATTTGACTAAATACAGTAACGCATTCAGAATTAAAAGGTGATAGATTCACGTGCCAAGACGAGTGTGCAATTTTCTCCCAACAGGGGGCTGAGCAGCAAACAAAAATACTACGACTTCCTATTTCACCACCAACAATGGACACACATAAGGCACGTGTCTAATGCCTTCTTAAGTGAGAAGCACAGCACTGAAGGAGTGCTGCACCGGCAGCCAGGCTGTATTTTTGGAATAATTGTATCTGCCAGGTAATGAGCAGCAGTGTGCAAGGGGCAGCCAAGGAGCAAATTCCTTAGTCTCTCTGCTGGCATTGCTTTGTAGCTGCCCATCACCCCTGTTGGACAGCACGAGGGAAACAGATGATTACAGCCTGCCTGCCTTTCTGCCCTCCTCCATTCCAAGTCTGTGGCTAACCCAGTCCCCTCACTTACCGCACGTACGCCGCTAAATCGCCCACTTTGGTGCTTCGTGTTTTAATCATCTGATTAAAAGAGAAATAAAGTGACTGTTATTCTGAAGAAGCATAAACACACTTCAAGTTTTATTTGTGAAGTGGCAGTCTTGTTCAGTGCTTAACTCTCCTGACACTGAGCCATGAGACGCGAGGTCTAATCCAGAGGTTTCAGTCTACGATACCTTCAGGTGCAGCAGTGTGGCAGTGCTACATTGTCTAAGGTGTCAGACATATGGTAACCCAAGACTAAAGATGTTAAAACAAGTGTCTCGTCCCTGGTCCTCATCAACATCCATCCCTCACCCAGCATCACTAAAGTAAATATCTTGGACGTTATCACACTGCTATATGCTAAAGGTTTATAGGGTGCAGACTGGTTCATAAGAGAGCAGAATTAAGCCATTTGGCCCATCAAGTCTGCTCCACCATTCGATCATGGCTATGTTTCTCAACTCTAATCTCCTGCCTTCTCCCTGAAACCCCTGATCCCCTCTCTAACCAACAACCTATCGATCTGTGTCTTAAATACATTCAATGACTTGGCCTCCACAGCCTCTGCGGCAATGAATTCCACAGATTCATCACCCTGTTGCTGAAGAAATTCCTTCTCATCTCAGTTGTAAAGGGTTGTCGTTTCAATCTGAGTCTGTGCCCTCGGGTCCCAGTCTGGCCTACTAGTGGAAATGTCTTATACAATTGTAGAACTCCAGATGATACAGGCCTAGACTATCTAGCCTTTCACTGAATCCCTACAGTGCAAATGGAGGCCATTCTGCCCATTAAGTCTATGCCAACCCTGCAAAGAGCATCACACGCAGACCCACTTCCCTACCTTTCCACCCCACAACCCCATGTTAACCATGGTTAATCCCTGGACACTACAAGGCAATTTAGCCAATCCACCTAACGTGCACATCTTTGGACTATGGTAGGAAACTGGAGTACTGGGCAGAATTCCACACAGACATGGGGAGTACGTGCAAACTCTATACAGACAGTCACCTGTGGCTGAAATTGAACCCAGGCCCTTGGCACTGCAAAGCAGCAGTGCTAACCACTGTGCCACCTTCTCCATGTGCATTCTGTCCAGGCCTCTCAGCATTCTGTAAGTTTCAATCAGATCCCGCCTCATCCTTCTAAACTCCAACGAGTACAGATCCAGAGTCCTGAACTGCTCCTCATATGACAAGCCCTTCATCCTGGGGTCATTCTTGTAAACTCCTCTGGATCCCCTCCAACACCAGCAAATCCTTTCTTAGATACGAGGCTCAAAACTGCTCACAATATTCCAAATGTGGTCTGACCCTAGGTGTAGGACATGCGTCAGTTGTTAGTGCACACACCTCTGACTCACAAGGTTCTGGGTTTAAGACCCACTCCAATCCCGAAGTGTGAAAAAAGCAAGGCTGACACTTCAGCCCAATACTGAGGGATTACTGCACTTTTCTTAACTTAAGGGACATCAAGACAAACCTGTGCAACCCAATTCTCACACACACACACAACCCAATTCTCAATTCTCTTGGGGTTAATCCAAACTGTATGAAACAGCCCTGAGAAACTCTTAACACTGATATCAATAGCCTGCAACAAATGACCTCTAACAGCTCCCTGGCTTTGTGGTTAGGAACCTCACCTCCAAACTGAATGTCATGAGTTCAAAACCAGCTCCACAGCACTGGTGTAAAGATAACAATCTCTCCCTCGATGTCAGCAAAACGAAGGAGCTGGTCATCAAGTTCAGGAAGTGGAGTGGAGGACATATCCCTGTCTGTTATCACTGGTGCTGAGGTGGAAGGGGTCAAGAGCTTCAAGTTCTTAGGAGTAGATAGCAGCAATCTATCCTGGCTCATCCACGTTCACGCTACACTAAAGAAAGCACGCTAACGCCTCTACTTCCTCGGAAGGCTAAGGCAATTCAGCATGTCCACAATGACACTTACAAATTTTTATCGATGTACCATAGAAAGCATCCTATGCAGATGCATCACAGCTTGGTACGGCAAGTGCTCTGCCCAAGACCACAAGAAATTACAGAGAGTTATGAATGCAACCCAGTCCATACATTGACTCCATCTACACTTCATGCTGCCTTGGGAATGCAGCCAACATAATCAAAGACCCCTCCCGACCCGGTTATACTCTGTACTACCCTCTTCCATTAGGCAGAAGATACAACAGTTTGAAAGATTTAAGAACAGGTTCATTCCTGTTGTTATCAGACTTATAAGCAGACCTCTCATATATTAGAGTTGATCTTTCTCTGCATCTACTCTGTCGCTGTGACACAATATAATCTGCATTCTGTTCTGTTACTCTAATGTATTTACGTAAGGCATGATTTGTCTGGTTTGCTTGCAAAACAATACTTTTCACTGTATCTGAAACATGTGACAATAACAAAATCAAATCAAATCAAAGCACTTACTCCAACAAGCTGACACATCTAGTGCCAAACTGAAGGACAGCTGCAGGGCTAAAGAGACATCTTTCGGTTGTGACTCAAAAGTCTCTATTATTCTTTCAGGATGTTAAAAAATAATTCAGTGGCGCTGCTTTGAAAAGAGCAGCAGACTTTTCCAATATTTACTCCTCAACCATCATCACTTTAAAAGAAAGATTTTGGACACTATCCTTGTTGCTATTTGTGGGGGGCGGCTGTGCTGGCTGAGAGCTGACTACAGTGTTTACCATATCACAACAGCGACTACAGTTTCCCGACTGCAAGGCACACTGAGACACCCCGAAGGGGTAAACATAGCTGGAGGGGGACATCCTAACCATGAGACATGAAGACAAGAGACATGGTTTGTCTGCTCTGGTGGGTGCTGTGCCGTGTTAGAAATTCAGGTCCCTTTAAGGGTCAAACAAAGTCGATGAAGAGAGGTTGATGCCTATCGGGCTTTGTTTGAAGGGCTTTTGTAGGGTAGTGAAAGTGCCCCTACCTCTGAGACAGAAGACCTGGGTTCAATGCCCACACTTCTCCGTAGGTATGTTGTAACATCTCTGAAAAGGTTGGTCAGGAAAAAGAGAGAGTGTGAGCTTTCTCCAGTGGGGTGTTGGCTTCTAGACAGGGAAAGGGTCCAGATGAGAAAGCAGAAAATTGGCGCTTGTGCAGAACTATAGATTTACAACAAGACCCTTACAAATTTCAGAAGGTCCTTTGCTGGTTAATTCAGCATATGGATGCAGGTCTGTTAAACATATGCGAACAATCTTATGGATTATTATTTTGATGAAGAGCAGGTAGAGTTCTGCCCAGTCTCCTGACTAATATTTTTCTCAAGCAATAACACCTTATTGATCATTATCTAATCGCTGTTTGTGGGGGTTTGAGGTTTGCAAGTCAGCTATCACGTTTCCAAATTACTTACTTTCCTTTCGAACGGTACTCTTTCAGCTGCAAAGCACTTTGGTGGCTGTGAGAAGTGCAACATTAATGCAAGCATTTCTTTTCCTCTCTGACTGCTTAATTTCCTCACAGAAGAATCACAAATAGACTTCTGAGTTGCACAGACACCATAATCCCCACACAGACGCTGCAGCCTGGGTCTCGATAGGCGCCAGTATTTTTAAAGAGAATTGGTTTCCAGGGAATGCAGGTACAGTTACAATATTTAAAAGACATTTGCAAAAGTACATGAATATGTACTTACAAGTACACGAACATATGAAAATGTTTGGAGGGATATGGGTCAAGTGAAGGCGGGTGGGACTTGTTTAGTTTGGGAACATGGTCAGCATGGACTGGTTGGACTAAGGGTCTGCTTTCGTGCTGTATGACTCTAAGAGATGATCACTTTATTAAACAAAAACACAGAGTGCTGGAGAAACAGAACAGGTCTGGCAGCATCTACTCTGATGGTCATCAGCATAAATTTCACCCTGTCCCTTCAGTTCTGATGGAGGGTCACTGGACTCGAAAGGTTAATTCTGGTTTTCCCGCCACAGATGCAACGTGTGGTTTCTGGTTCACACTTCCTGCATCCACAGTTCTTTGTGTTCGCTTGATAAAGGCTGCCCTCTGCAGACAAAGAAGGCACACACATTTGTCATCTGCCCCAGGTGCTGTTTCTGAGTCAGACCATTTCACAGGAGAACTGACAGGCCTGCAGAATTGCTCCAGATGCACAATGCTACTCAGCATCAGGCCGCAGCTCAGAACTGACATTCAGGCAGTCTCTATTTTGCGGCAATTTATTTCCCTCGCGAGCAGCTGCAGCCACCAAGTCAAGAAAGAACATAAATTTGAGAGAACCGGACTGAGTGGGCTGCTTTGGGTGTAGCCACATGTATGTGAAAAGTTCTGCTGCCTGTATCCTGATTCGCACCGAGCTATGTCACCAAATCACCCATGGTCGTCACTGACCTATACTGGATCCTGGTCTGGCCACACCTCAACTTTAAAATTCTCAGCCTTCCTTTCAAACTGCTCTGTGGCTTCAAAACCTTTGTAACCAGCTCCAGCTCTTGAACCCACTAAAGACATGCGCTTTCCTCCAATGTTAGCCACTTGAGACCCCTGGTTTTAGTTGCTCCATGACTGATGGCAATGTCTTCACATGCCCAGGTAATGGCTCTGGAACGATCTCCCTAAACCTCTCCGCCTCTCCTTCCTCCTTTAAGACAACCCTTAGAATTTACCTCTTTGGTCAGACTTTTGGCTATCTTCCCTCATGTTTGGTTCAGTTTCAAATTGTTAACGTACCTGAAAAGTCCCTTGGAACTTTTCATTGGGTTAAGGGCACTACAGAAATGCAAGCTGATGCGAACATGTCAAAAACTGATGTAAGATCAGAAAATGATGGAAAGCTCATTTAGGAACAATGGAAAAAGGGTAGGTTAATTGTTCAGGGTGCCATCTTTTACCAAGAAAACATTGATTGAAGTAAAACAATTCAATAAGATGGGAAAGAAGAGGACCAAGGATTCACATTGAGAGGACACTAGGCTCAATAACTGGCAGGCTGATTAAGAACATATGCACAAATCATTAACCCAATCTTCGCTTTACAAGTGCTGAGTGG